GCGGGGTGGGTGAGGGTGGGGTAAGATTAGTAAGGTTTTGTTGCAGTTTGCCTGTTTTCCTTCTTCACTGAATAGAAATCGGGCTCTCTTTGAAAGCAGGGTCAAGAGGTCTTGGTGGAAAAACAGGAAACGCTTCCAGAGAGGAACTCGCCGGCCTCTCGGGACTTTATTAAAGCCATCTGAGCCAACACGGTAGTGGCTGCGTGGCTGGGGTGCTTCTCACTGGGCACTCTCCTTGCGTACACAGCCAGACCGCAGGCACCGAGGCCCGCGTCTCCTCCCCGAGGTGTCACACCCAGCCCCGAGCTCGCGAGAGGCGGCGGCACCGGCGGCAGGGGGCGGGTCGGTCCCCGCGATTCCCTTACAAGGCGCTGAGCGAGCCGGCGCCGCCCGGCCCGCGCCCCGGCACGTCGCGCCCAGCCCCCACGCGGGCCCAACCATCTAGCTGCCGGGGAGGGGGGGCGCGCGGCCCGGGTGGGGGCGTACGGAAAGCCCGGGCCGCAGTCCTGGGTTGCAAAAGGCCAGCGCACACTCTCCTGCATCCGAGTGCCACCCCGTCGGGCTGCCCCCCTGAGCACGCGGCCCACCTAGCGCCCCTCGGCCACGGCCGCGCCGTCGCCACCCCCGTACCACCGCTAGGAGGCGGGACCCGCGCGCGGGCGGGGAACGGGCCGTAGCCGCTTCCTTCCGCTGGGCTCCGGGAGGCCGGAAGTGCTGTGTCCAGGACCGGACGGCAGCGCTCGGGCGGTTCCCAGGACGTTTCTCAGGTGCTCGGCTCCTCGCGTCTGTGCCGGTGAGTGCTGCTCGGAGTCGGGCATCTGCGGGCCCAGGAAAGCGGGCCGGGGGGGGGGGGGGGGGGCAGCCGCTTCCCCGGGTCGGATCCTGCCGTCGCCCAGGCTTGGGGCACGGCAAATGGAGCTGGGCGCCTTGGCGCCGGAGGCCGGGCGACAGCCGCGCCCGCGAAACCCGAGCCGGCGGCGCCGACTCCCCGCCTAAGTTTAGTTGCTCGCGTCAGCTGGTGGGCTGCCTTCCGCGCCCACCCGCCCGCAGCTGTTGCTGCAGCTGTGTGCCTGCATGCTGGAGGAGCAACCAACTCAAGATTAGCAACTTCCTCAGCTCAGGCTCACTTAAGTAATTAGAACAGTGGGGAGAAAGGAGTGACGTGGACGGAGAATTCAGGGTGTAGTCTGCGGCTTGAGAAAAATTCCGTAGCGGGCTTAGCCCAACTGCCCAGAGGTTTCTTTTCATAATGGGCTGAGTAGGTGTGTGAAAAAGCATGGATCAGTTTCACAGACCCTTGGAACACAGGGGTACATTCCGTTGAAATTTTACAGGAACGGTATTTTTATATGTGAGGGTGACCAGAATGACTTACTTCTTTGATAGAGTGACTGTTTCCTTTTCTGTGTTTAATCTTGTGGGAAATGTTAGATAAATCTTAACCCGGAAAGCTTTCTTCTTCCAAAAGTGAGGCTTTGCTGGTACAGTGAACCTCGGGAACCCATCGCCTTTGTCAAAGGCAAAGAACTTTTTGGGTGTGGCAGTCAAAGAGCACCGAGACTGCCTGCCACCGGAAGTTTGCGCAGAAACTGAAAACTTGGTGTAGTTAGAACGTGCCAACCTAAACATGTATTTTTAAGAAACCTGTGGTTGCCATCAATTTACGTACACTTAACTTAGGGAAGAAAAAAAAATAATGATTAAATAAAACTACTTTTGGAATGAATTTGGAAAGCCCACCAAACACTGTGTTATACATAAGACACAGTGAAAGTTTTTCTTAGAGACTAAATGTTAACCCAAATATCCGTTTGAAGTTTCTTTTAAAAAGGCTGTCAATTACTTTATATTTATTATAATTACAAGTGTTGGATTCTAACTAAAGGAATCTAATGTTAGTGTAGATAACCCCATTTTATATTTAAAATATCTAGATTTTAAATATTCTCAGGTTACTCTGTGTGGGGAAAGTTTTTGAGTATTTTAATTTTCCAAATCTTTGTTGTAATTTAGTCTTGTATCCTTCCTTTTGTATAATGATTGTCTTTCTGGCTAAATCAGCCAAAAAAAATTCTTCTATCTCGTCTAAAACTAGAGTATCAGTTTGTAAATTTAAACTTTTTATCACCATAGGGTTTCATTTTCTCATCTAAAATATTACATATTTCGTAGAATGCTATTCAGTAGGTCTGCTTCAAGTTTAATAGTTACGTACCTGTACATCTTAGGATGCTTCAGAGTAGACTCTAGACTAATTCAGAACCAGCAGAAATTCCAGGTTTACATAGGAATCTGGAGTTTCACCCTAATTTTCTAAACTTCTGTTAGAAGTGTGCATTTACTAAAAGTTTATTAGGGGAAGAGAGTACAATCTCAATTTGAGCAAAATGAAAATGAAAAGTGAGCTAGAACTATATAGCAAAGGAACAGTAACAGTATCATAAGTAATCTGCTTTGGGGATCAGAGCACTGGACCTGATTTTGCTTTCTTGTCAGCAGTGTTGATTTCCTTTAAAGATTGATAGGTAAAGGTAAAGGTAAAGGCCCTCCCGTTGATCGTCGATTTGCTCGAGCGGGCCCAGTAACGTCTCCATTGGAGACTTTGTTGTTACTGTGTCTGGCATATCGAATACTCTCGGTAGCTTGCCGGGCTCTCCGAGAGGGGCGGAGGAATTGAACTCGGGTCGGCCATGTTGGCCGCTTGTAAGGCGAACGCCCTACCCGCTGTGCTATCAAAAAAAAAGAAGCCACAGTTTGGAACAACTGTGAAGCTAAACTCCCTAACAATGAAAAGTTCCAGGTTTCTGGTGCAAGACCGACTCCTAAATCTGAATCTAATCCCATTGAACAAATAAAGGCCAGATAATAACTTGCCCAAAATTACATTATTGATTTTGGTAGGATTAAAGCTAGACACTTTGTGCCTTATAAATAGCTCGAGATTATCAAGGTCTTCATCTTTGCTCCACCACTCTAATCTTTTAGAAACATTCAGTGTTCTTTTCTGGACGTACTATATTTGATAATTATGTACCACCGTTAGTTTTTTCTTTGTCACCTGAGAGTCATATCTCTGGAATGAAACAGTAATGTCTAGTAAATTAAACCAATTATCTTACTTTTTAATGGATATATTTACCAACAATAAAACTCACTGAAGATAGAACACTGATTTTACATTTCTTAATTCTTAATAGTATTATACAATAGGGACAATTCGTATACCTAAGGTGCTGCCTTGTCTGCAGCAGAACCCAGTTAGATCCCCAGAACCACATTTGTGCCCTTGAGCAATGCTAGAAGTGATTCCCTGAGTACAGAGCCGGAAGTAAGCCTAAACACCACTGAGTGTGGCTCAGGTTGAGTTAGGTTCAGCTTCACATACCAGGCAGCACCACCCATTTGTGATTTCCTGGCACCCAGCAGCCAGGTGTGTGGTGAAACCAAAGTGTGAGTGAGATCTCACTACTTGTTCCCATGATTCTGGATCGTTGCAACAATAGCAAAGGGGAAGGAAAAACTTTAGAGGAAATACATCAAGACTGAAATACATATATATTACTTTCTAACCAGTATTCACCTTCTGGTTTGTCACTTAGCCCTCCATAGCTGCAGGCCAGCAGGGCTGCACTTGGTGGTGACTGGGGCGTGAGGGGTTTCCCATGGTCCTGGGGCCTCTATGTACAGTGTACCCACTCTAGCACCAAACTCAGAGTTTAAAGAAGGTATCAAGTACCCTCACCAGATTTAGTAGTATTTTATAGATTAAAAGATAGGTTGTCTTGGCCTTTTGTTCTTTTATTCTCATTGTCTTAAAAACAAACTTAAAATTCTGCAGCTTGGGGGGATGAAAGTATCTTCAGGCAGAGCAGACTATTTTGAAAGATGTACATTAGTTTGCAGACATGGCATGCCTAGACTGATAAGCCTCTTCAGGGCTCAACTCTCACAAGTCCTTTGAGCATATATGTATATATGAGATGGAGAAGAAATATGAACCTTATGTACATCCTGCTCTTTTTAAAACTCTATTTTAGAGACTGGGCTGGAGCGAGGGTGTTTGCCTTGCATGCAACTGACCGGGGGTTTGATTCCTCTGCCCCTCTCAGAGAGCCTGGCAAATTGCCTAGAGTATCTTTGCCCTTAGGGCAAAGCCTGACAAGCTACTGCTTACCTATTTGATAGGACAAAAACAGTAACAACAAGTCTCACAATTTGTTGTGAGACATTACTGGTGCCTGCTCAGGGCAATCGATGAACAACGGGAGGACAGTGCTACAGTGCAGTGCTATTTTAGAGACAAAGTACAGCACTACCTAGTTTAGGTATTCAAGGGATTTACTGCCCCCAAGCACAGAATGAAAACATGCTTTCAAGGATGTGTAGGGGGTCAGAGAGATAGCATAAACTTGGTAAGACAATTGCCTAGCACATGGCCAACTGTGGTTCAATCCCTAGTACCATATTATAGTCCTCAGAACACCACCAGGAGTGACCCTAAGCCCAGAGCATTTGCTGGGTGTGGCCCAACCATCCCCATTCTCCAATAACTATAAATAACCTCTGAAAGGATGATTAGAGGAAACTAGGCAATTAGGGAGGAATGTTTATCATGGCTGCTGTGTCCTGTAGTTTATATCTTCGCAAAACATGTTCCAGTGTACCACTAAAGCTGGAATATTGGATGGAATGTGTGACTATCACTTGTGGAATTTCCTGCTAAAATACGAGAACTGATTTGGCTAAAAAAATTTTCTGGGTAGAGCTTCTCTGATTATTTCCATAATTGAATTTAGTCAGAGTAATGCGGTTTATCCCAGAAAGAATCTAAGAAATGTCATATTTAACTGATGTGACAGACACATTGTATTCTAAGGTCACTTTGCAGTGCTGAGATCTAGGTAGCACTTCATTCTTTGCGGTCCACAGATTTATTTATAGAGCAAGGGCTTAGTGTTTTGCTACATCACGGCTAAATGTTGTTTTCAGAACGTAAGCTTTAAAATTGTTAGCTTGGTCAGAGAGTGAAATCAATAGCACCTATTTTAGACCTGCTTGGAAGAATATAACTCAATACAGTGTCTTAGTCTTGTGAGAGGTTTTGCAGACTACCACTCCAACATTAGAAGGATGGTACGGTAAAATTTTATTACCTGATGATTAATGAGATTTTTCTATTTTAAACAAAGTTTTATAATCTTAAAAATTGAATGTTGAAATTGTCATTTTATTATGTATTAGTCACTTTATGTTTAACTTAAAACTTAGAGATAAATATAAATTGTTAGCAATAAGTTTTCTGTTCTTAAAATGTTTCTAAAGGTCTTGAAAGTTAATTTCTTAAAAAACTTCAGCTGATTTTTGTAGAGGATTTAGTTATTTTAAATTATTTAACTTGACTGCACACCGTTGGTTTGAACAGAGTGAAAATAAGCATTTTAAAAACCTTTTCATTAGCTTTTCAACAGATAAGTCTCTTGAAACTATTTTGGTTCCAGAAGTGAGAGCATTAAAATAAATGTTAGTTACAAGTAGAAGAGTGAAATTTGGCAATAAAGATAAGGAGCTGAAGCCCTGTTGTTCCTGTTTCTACTTTCTGTCTACTTGAAAGGGGACAACTTTAATTTAGGGCAGGGCTATTAAAAAAATAGATCTTACCAGATAAATTTGTGTTTCTCAACATTCCTGGCACTCTTCTATACTCAGAAGTATAGATCTAGCACTTTTTCCTCAGTACTTGTGTTGGGTTTTTTATTTTGTCTTCTGTTATATTATTGGGTAGTAGTTTGGTTATCCTTTATTAAATTAGGCTGTATATACACCAGTACTTGGGACATGCAATCTGCAATACGCTCTGAGCTATGAATGTTGATTGTAGTTTGGAATTTGAAGATACTGATGAATTGACTTATTTAATACTAAAGTTAGTAAATGTTAAAGCTACTAAGAATGTTGAACCTTAAAGAATTTTAAGTTAATTTTCTCTATGCAGTTTGGTTCTGTGAGTAATGTTATTATTAACTGTGAAGTTTTTGCTGAGTGCTGCTATCATGAGTAGTTTTTAGACTCATAGCTAACTTACTTACACATACCAGATTGATTCCATTTTTTTGGGTCATACCCGGTGATGCACAGGGGTTACTCCCGGCTCTGCACTCAGGAGTTACTCCTGGTGGTGCTCAGGGGATCATATGGGGTGCTGGGAATCGAACCTGGGTTGGCCGCGTACAAGGCAAACACCCTACCCATTGTGCTATCTCTCCAGTCCCAATTCCATTTTCTTCTTAACCTTTTCTCTTGAAATCCTTTTCCTAGGATTTAACCGCCACCATGTCGAGCAAAAGGGCAAAGACCAAGACCACCAAGAAGCGCCCCCAGCGCGCAACATCCAATGTGTTTGCAATGTTTGACCAGTCACAGATTCAGGAGTTTAAAGAGGCCTTCAACATGATTGATCAGAACAGAGACGGTTTCATTGACAAGGAAGATCTGCATGATATGCTTGCCTCCCTGGGTAATAATCTAATTAATATATTAGAATTTTGTGATACCTTTTATGTTGTGAAACCAATCTAGTGTTGTGGTTGACAGAGTCAGATTTTTAAAGAGTAAATAGTGGCCAGACTGATCGCATAGTGGGTAGGGGGCTTGCCTTGCATGAAACTGACCAGGATTTGATTCCCATCACCCATATGGTTCCTCAAACATTGCCAGGAATATATTCCTGAGCACAGAGCTAAGAGTAACCCCTAAGCATCACAAATAAAGAAATGAATAAATACATTTTAAAAAGTAAAAGGAATGATCTTTTAACAACCTTCAGACTTCTAAGGATGGAGTGGGGATTGGCATTGTGTGTGGGGGGGGGGCGGGAAACACTGATCTGATTATAAAACTGTTATCTCTTGTCACCCTGTAGAATAGTAAATAATCTATAGGCTCACTATAAACCTGGTTCATTGAGAATACTTACCCAAGTATTTTTACATTTGTGAATTCAAGCAGCATAACTGTGTAAACAATATTTCTTGCTAAATATGCATGTGATTAATAATTGATGCATTTTGTGGTACAGTTAAAATTATGACTTTTTTGTTAAGGGAAAAATCCAACCGATGAGTATCTAGATGCCATGATGAATGAGGCTCCAGGTCCCATAAATTTTACCATGTTTCTCACGATGTTTGGTGAGAAGTTAAATGGCACAGATCCAGAAGATGTCATCAGAAATGCCTTTGCTTGCTTTGATGAAGAAGCCACTGGTAAGTCAGAGACAACTTTTAATTACCAAGTGAGCCAATTTTTATAGTAACTACATACATAATAACTAAAACTGTGATATATTACCCTTAATACCGGCCGCTCGACATCTTATCAGAACTTTTTTTTATGACATCTTATTGTCTCATTCCTACTTTGGACAAACTTGCAGGCTATTGAATGTAGCCTGCCCACAGGGCAGAGTCTGGCAAACTCCCCGTGGCCTACCAAATATGCCAAATACCAGTAACAATGATGGGTCTCATTCTCCTAAAGAGCCTTGAATATAATCTCAGGGCTAGGATGAAAGAGACGTTACTGGGGCCTGCTCAAGGCAATCGACGAATAACAGGATGATGAAATTAAATGAAATGAAATACCCTTTTACTTGTTTTTAAGTATTTGTCCTCCTTTCCCCCCATTTTTGCTTTGTTTTGTACTGGTTTTTTCTATGGCATATTAATTACTTCTACCCCCAAATAATATTCAATTTAATGGGTGTATTTTAAAGTTATTTTATAAACTTACTCCTTTATTTGAATAACTTCAAAAGTATTTAATGTTAGTGAGTATGCTGAATGAATAACTTTTAGTTACTCTTAGAACAGTCTTAGAGTTTAAATTACTATGGGCTGTGACACCAGCACAGTCCTTTGTTTAATTATCACATATCTCTCAGCTGTCGTACAACAATTTTAATCTGATATATAACTTTCTTGCAAGCTCCTCTACTAATAATTGTGCTAACTTGAGGGATGGGTGTTAGATCACTGTGTGATTGTAACTGAGACATGAAAGCCTGTAACCATATCTCACGGTGAATCAATAAAATTTAAAATAATAATAATAATTGTGCTAACTTGCGCCTGCCACTTCTGTTTTTCTCATTACACCATAACTCTCTTGTAATGGAACTCTCTAGATTAAGAAGGGGTTAAGGTTGGGAAGGGGCAGTCAAAGAAGACAACTTTTTTTTCTCTTAATGGCATAATCTTTTATCAAGAGATGAGAAGGATGTGAATGCAAGCTGATACAGAGAAGAGCGGGTTCAGAACATGCTGCTAACAAAGGCTGGAGAGATAGTACAGTGAGGGGCTTACTTTGCACTTGGGGCTTACTTTGCACTTGATGACCCAAGTTCAATTGCCAGCACCGTTTTGGTACCTGGAGCACTGCTAGAAGTGATCCCTGAGCACTGCTGGGTGTGACACATGTTGCTAAGTATGTGGAAACCTCATATTTCATATATTTACATATTGATAGAATGTGTTTGGTCTCACATAGATATTCCATACAATTTACTTTCTTGTTAGCATGAATTTTGATTCCCATTTCTTTATTCTTTAGGTACCATCCAGGAAGATTATCTGAGAGAACTGCTTACCACAATGGGAGATCGATTTACAGATGAGGAAGTGGATGAGCTGTATAGAGAAGCACCTATTGACAAAAAGGGAAATTTTAATTACATTGAGTTCACACGCATCCTCAAACATGGAGCGAAAGACAAAGATGACTGAAAAGAACTTCACTTTCCAGCCAAAAGCTCCTTATTGCCAATTTGGGTATTTCTGAGATTTTCTCTTAGAGCCTATTGCATGTTCTTAGCTTTTGCCTTTTCTTATTGTATTTATTCTCAGCCATTTTGGGCACATGCATCTCTATAATCAGACTGGAAACGGGACTTACTGTCATTTACAGAATAGAAAATAGGGTAATTTAACTTACCATCTCCTCTCCCCCAAAATAACTGCACACAAAATCTGTACACAGAGTCAATATATTTTTTCAGAGAAGGTTATTCACCCAATTTTTTCTGAATCATAATTAAACTTTATGATAAAAACTTGTTTGTTTAAAACTTATTTATGAAAACTATCTTAACAAAAAGTCATAAAACTCGTCTTTTAAAAACTCCTAAGTCATATCGTTTTAAAAAATTCATTCTAGAATTTATTTATATATAATAGCTTTGGTAGCTTTAAATCCTAAAGTTTATATCTGCCAACTCTCTTCCCTCTTTGTCTGCTAAAAGCCTTTGTAAATTACTTTATGTCTCATATTTTAAAGTTAGGGTATGCCACTGAGTCTAATTTTAATTTCTCCTAACTTTTAAAAAAATTTTCGCCTTAAAGGTTGTGTTTTAATTCTACCAAAAGGACAGATTTTTATGTTGTGTTTCAAAATGTTGAAAATACAATACAGTATTTTCTACTGTATAAACATAACACATATATACATATAATTTCTCTTTTAAGTAGTGTTGAATACCATGTTTGTTTAAGCAACATCTACCAAGTGTCCATGTATGTACTTTAGACATTGTTTTAACCTGCGACAAGCAAAACCACTAAAATAATATGATGTCGAAAGCAAGATCGTTATTTCAGTCCTAAAAATAACATGTATTGCAGAAAGCGGTAGGGCGTTTGCCTTGCACAAGGCCGACATGGCCAACCCAATTATGATTCCTCCACCCCTCTCGGAGAGCCCGGCAAGCTACCAAGAGTATCTCGCCCGTATGGCAAAGCCTGGCAAGCTCCCCATGACATATTCGATATGCCAAACACAGTAACAAGAAGTCTCACAATGGAGACATTACTGGGCCCACTCGAGCAAATCCATGAACACTGGGAGGACAGTGCTACAGTGCAGAAACACTTCTTTTAAGAGTTGGGAGTTTTATGGGACTGTAAAAATCTAACTCAGATACATTAAGGACACTCTTAAAATTTGGGAGGAAAGTTTCTGTGAGGTCATCACAGAAAATAGTGATGACCTCAAAGATGAGTAATTGACAATTACTGTAATCATGTTTTACCTAGTAAGAAGGCTGATTACTTACCTCATTCAGTAAACAATTACTGAACGCCAGAGGGCAGCAGGCCTTTCTACTTAACTGGATAAGTGAACTAGATCCTAAAACCTGATGGCCACTTTATAGCAGTTGAAAGACTAGTTAAGAGACTGTTTTTGCCCTCTTCGAGACTAATATCTTAGCACCTGTCTTAATTCTTTACCTTTTTTGTGTTGCTGAATTTCCTTCTTTAGTTTAATAAAGAACTTTTGGAGGCTTATTAGCCGTTATGTTAGAATCTTTCAATTAACTATAATTGCACTTTGGAGGAACCTCATTGGCTATGATACTGCCACTGCGCATGGCTTGATGTTAAAATCTTGACTGAATTTCCATTGCAACTGAAATGATTATTTCTGAAGTGTTAAATTTCAGTGCAGAAGAGTGGTATATTTTCACTACAAAGGAAAAGTGGCCTCTTCTAAAATTATTCTCTCATACAATCCCAATTTCCCAAACTTTGGAAATGATTGGGGGGAAAAAGCCTTCATTAGTAATAGTGAGTGGTCTAAATGAAATAATGTTACTAAGTAATAGCTTCCTCTACATCAGTATTTCTCAAAATGGATGATAGTACTATCAGGTGCGGTGTAGGGTGGGGGCAGGTGAGGGAAGTAAGGGGCTGGAGTGATGAGGTATAGAGGATTTGGTTCAGTTAGGGGATGCTTTATTCATTTAGATGGTAGATCTCCAAAGGGTGCTAAGGGTTTTCTTTTTTTCTATAAAAGGGATGATAGGCCAAGTAAGACTGGGAACCCGTGTTTTTACATATTCACCAGTTTTGCTTAAGTAAAGATGTTTGCCAACAAAAATCTCAAACAGTGTACTCCAATAGTAGGTTTCACATGCTGAAAGATAGTTGAAACAAACTCAGAAATTCTGATAAAAGCAATCAAATGGAGCAACATCCTCCCTCACTTGAACTCATTCGTCCAAGTTGGACTCATTGCGCAACTTTTGACTCAGTTGTCATTTGGACTTCTAGAGGCAAAACTCAGGAACATTCAAGCCAGGGCTGGCCTCGTGCAAGGCAAAAGCTTTATTATTCCCTTTCCCATCTCTCTGCCCCCTCCCCCCCCCCAAAGAACATGTATAGTATGTTCTAATATAGGATCAATGAGATAATTCAAAGGGCTGGGACTCTGGTAGGTGCCCCTACCTTGAACAACCCGAGAAAGGACATCCCTGCCCCAAGCTCCAAGCAGGGTCATATCTTAGTGCTGTACACATGCTTCCTGCCATCTAGAACTTTCTGAATCCCAGTATCTATAACTTAAAACTAGGGGCTGAAGTGAGCTGACCCAAATTCGGTTCCCTGCATTCCGTATGGTCCCGAGTACCGCCGGGAGTAACCCCTGTGCACTGCCGGGTATGACCCCCCCCCAAAAAAAAAGAAACCTTAAAACTAAAATTCAAAATTCATTCACCACCACTTGAGGAAATAGAAACTCAAGTGCCTTGTGCTAACGACCCTCCATTATCCAAGAATATCCAGGTCCCCAGGCTAAGGTCACAGACGTTAGAGCCACTGAACGATACCTAGGACAGCACTGGAATCCTGTAGCCGCGCCGTTTCCTTTGTTCTGCCAAGACCTCTGGTGTGTGGGGTCTCGAGTGCGTGTAGCTGTCGTTGCTTTATGGACCCAGGGGAAAGCAAAGCATGTGAATAAAACTGGTTGAAGCGGACGAGCAGTCAGGCCGGCCATGGACGTCGCAACGCCGGCTGTGGCCGGAGACTAGCTAGGGAGAGTCCCGGACGCGTGGGGCTGGAGTGTGGTGGGCCCACAGCTAAAGCCCCCGAGCCGCGGTGATGAACCACACGGGCCCTTGGAGCCTGGTTCGACCCGAGTCGGATCCCACCCGGCGAGCTGCGCTCCCTCTCGCCAGGCACACGACTTCCGGCGCGACGAGGCCCGCCTCCTTCCCAGTCGGGCGCCCCGGGCCAGGAACGCGGAAGGGTCTCGGGAATGCTCTGAGCCGGCGCGGGAGGGGTGCGCGCCGGGGGCCGGCCGCCCGCGGGGAGACGAGCCGCGGCAGGTGGGGGCCGTGCAGGGCCGGCAGCTCAGGAGCAGGTTAGGTTCGGCAACTTCGGAGGACGCTGCCTCAGCTGAGTGAGGACCAGCCGCATCGCCTCCCACCCGCGCCTGGAGTTGGATCCTGCCGCGCCTTCCGGTCCGCCTCCAGGAAGTGCCGGGCGCCGCGACGCTCGCGACCCAGTCTAGCGTTCCTCGGCGTCGCTCGGCGTCTCCTGCAGGGCATCCCGGGTTCTGGCGACTGGCGGCGGTGAGTGCGCCTCGCCCCGCGCGCGACACCCCTGGGACCACCCACACCTGTCCCCCCTTCCCTCACCGCCTCGCGCCCGGCACCGGACCCCGCTGCCAGGGACCCGGGCGGGGACGGCGAAGGGCGGGGCCACCTTTCCAAGGGGGTGGGGGGGAGGGCGCAGCGCGACCTGCGTGCCGAGGGGCCGGGAAGCGCCCGGGGCTGCTGGAGCTAGGCCGAGGGACGCCCTGAGGAAAGCGGCTGCGGGTTCCCGGCAGCGCGGCCGCCGCCCCGCCCTGATGACTTCACCTGCCCGGGGCGTGGGGCGTGCGGCGCTCGCGGTGGGCGCCCCGCGGTGCTGAGGCTCCGAGCAGATCTGGAGCTCCGGTGCCTGGTGCAGGTCGTCAGTAAAGTGCTCGAAGCAGCGGAGAGCACTGGCCCGAGTGCACGCTTGGTACGGTCTCGATGGAAGTGGTGACCGCGCACCGTTCTAAGCAGCTTGTTAATGATGTAAATTTCGCGTTGACTACAAGGATCGATAACAAAAGAAAGGGTGCCCGAAATACTTGGAATTCCAAGGCAGACCTTGAATCCTCACCCCCACCCCCACCCCGAGAAGGGGGAATTCAGTGTTTTCTAGTCAAATCTGCGAAAGGAAAAGAGCGTGAGCGAAAAGCAGCAGAGGCGGGGCAGGGGTGGGAGTAGGGGTGTTTTTCGTGAAAGGTGGGGAGACCAGCGGGGATGAAAAAGTTCTGTAGGGAACCGGTGGAGGTAGGGAAGTAGACCTTTCAATGGGAACGTGAAAACTTTTCCGAAAGGAGAAATAAAACTATTTCGAAAACTTTGGGAAGGAGTCGTAAAATATTACCTGAGAAGCATTAGGGCGCCCCATTGAACTCAGCAAGGGAGGAACAAGAGAAAAGGAGTGTTCAAAGGATTAATCTGGCAGTCTTTGTTTGAGATGGATTTGTAAAAGTGCTTTGGTAAGAGGAGCATTGCAGCATTTTAAATTCAAAAGCACGGTTTGGATTACTGTGAGAAAACAAACCCAGAGGGGTGAGGTCATGTCTTGTCCTAGATCCTCGGAGGTAGGGGCTTCCCATGATGCTCTGGGTTTTAGTCTTAGCACCTGGACCCACCAACTCTGCACGGCCTCCTATTTGTTCAAGCTCTGTGACTTGAAAGTACTGTGGTGACTCAGTCCTCACTAATGCTTTCAGAAGGCTGCTACCGCTGAACAACAGAGCCCTGGTGAGAAAGAAGTGGGACTAAGAGCTTCTAACTTGATCTGGTGCCCCCCTTCTTCCAAGGTTCATAGATGCAGCTGAAAGTGACTTGATTGCCCCAAAATTTGATTAGATTCTTCCTTCCTTGTTATATACTTACTCTGTGCGTAGCTTGTTAGTCCTAGTGAGCTTTCCCCAGATGTGTGGTAGAGAATTTCTTCTACCTGTATTCAGTGTATTGGCTGGAGCAATAGCACAGTGGGTAGGGCCTTTGCCTTGCACGCCGCTGACCCGGGTTTGATTCCTCTGTCCCTCTCGGAGAGCCTGTCAAGCTTACTGTGGCTTATTCGATATGCCTAAAACAGTAACAAGTTTCAGGATGGAGACATTACTGGTGCCCGCTCGAGCAAATCGATGAACAGGAGGACAGTACTACAGGGGCCAGTGGTGCCGTTTCTAAAGCTAGACACTACCAAAGCTCCACCATCTGCAAATCCTTGCTCAAATCCCCAGCTCACAAATTATACTCCTGCTGGAATATCTTGTCTACCATTTGAAAGTAATTTGACTAAAATTTGATTTACCTTCCCTTTGCTTACAAAATCACTTTGTCTTTCCCATGTTGCCTCATTGTGAGTGGTCACTCTAATCACTTTCTCAACCAATTAAGAAAAGCAGAGTCATTTAAGGATTAGAACTTTGAAGGAAAATCCAATTAGGAAGCAGAAACTTAACAAACCAGCACAGGACTACTGCAGTTAACCACATTTTGCCACATAATCATTGCAGATTTTATGTCTATTTTTATTTTTGCAAAAAAGTGTGGTCTTACCATCATGTGGACCTTAAAATATTTTTGGTTGGGATGGGGCCAGGTTGGGTCACGCCCTGCAGCTTTGAGGGGCTATACCTCCTATATGCTCATGAATGAGTCCTGGCAGTGCTCCAGGAAATAAAATAAAAGTAAGTAAAGGCCCTCCCGTTGATCATCGATTTGCTCTAGCGGGCCCAGTAACGTCTCCATTGGGGACTTTGTTGTTACCGTGTTTGGCATATCGAATACGTCACAGGGAGCTTGCCAGGCTCTGCCGTGCAGGTGAGATACTCTCTGTAGCTTGCCGGGCTCTCCGAGAGGGGCAGAGGAATCGAACTCGGGTCGGCCATGTTGGCTGCGTGTACAAGGCAAACGCCCTACCACTGTGGTATTGATATTACACTGCTATCAGGAACTAGCAAGGCAATACCTTAATCATTGTATTATTCCAGCTGTGAGGCTGAAATAACACAAAAGCAAAACAAAAAATTTAGCCGTTGGTATTACTTTAAAACAAGGTGTTGGTGGCTAGAGTGATAGTACAGCAGGCAGAGTGTTTGCCTTGCAGGAGGCTGACCCAGGCTTAATTCCCACACTGCATCTGGTCCCATGAGCCCTGCCAGGAGTGACCTCTGAGCAGTCAAAAGTAAGCTCTAAGTACCACCGGTGTGGATCAAAAATCTAAATAAAACAAGGTAAGAATTTTAGGATAAAAAATGGCACCAAATGAAATAGATTAAACACACACACGCACAGAGAAAGGGAGAGAGGGAGAGAGAAGGACCTGAGAGCTAGAGCAGTGGACTGGAGTCACATTCTCTGCATACAGGTAGCCCAGGTTCTGTCCTTAGTACTGGCAGTCTTGTCCCCTGACCATAGCAGGAGCTACTCCAGCACAGAGTCAGAAGCAGTCCTTGACCATGCTGACTGCTGCGTATGGCCAGAGCCCACTCCTCAAACAGATGAACCCCACAGAACCAAAGAGAAGGTTATTTATCTGATACAAACTAGACTGAAGCTTTTTTTGATCCTTTTTAAATTATTGGGTTCTTGAAATACAGGCCCAACTGGCCCCCTGGCGCCGTGTAATCCCATCAGCGGCCAAGACTCTGAGACTATAAAAACCAGCTCCCGGAGGAGGAGGAGAGGAGCGCAGTCTCCTGCCCCCGCGCCTGGCTATTCCTCGCCAGGGCCCCTTGGAGGGGAGCGGATTGAGCTTTCCTCCCTGCCCCGGCCAGGGCCCCGGCAGCCAAAGACCTCCAGGATCAGCCACCACCATGCTGAGACCACTCTCCGCACACCTGAAGGTACCGGCAGAGGGACAAAGCCACGTGGGTTCCGGGGCCGAGATCTCCAAGCCTACTCAGATTGGAGTCGAGCATCCTTCACCCAGATCTTCCAAATTCCAGTAGGCGGGGGTCACACCCACCAACTGACCCCCTGGCGCCGTGTAATCCCATCAGCGGCCAAGACTCTGAGGCTATAAAAACCAGCTCCCGGAACCGCGCGGCCGCAAATGGCCGCGCAACATCTTATTATAACATCTCATTCCTACTTTGACAAACTGGCAGGCTACCGAATATAGCCTGCACACACGGCAGAGTCTGGCAAACTCCCCATGGCGTACCCAATATGCCAAATACCAGTAACAATGATGGGTCTCATTCTCCTAAAGAGCCTTGAATATAACCTCAGGGCCAGGATGAAGGAGACGTTACTGGGGCCTGCTCAAGGCAATCGACGAATAACAGGATGATTTGTGATTTGTGAAATACAGGGAAAAAAAGAACAAGGCAGAAGCTGGAATGTCTTATTCTGACTGAGTCACACACCATCATTTTTTGCACTGCTGTGGTTATAAAAGGCTAGTAGAATATGTACTTCAGAATAAGGATTACTTGGAGCTTAGGATAATCGAGAAGCTCACACAAGAATAAGCTCTCTTGCCTTCCTTCTCCTGTTGCCTAAAAGCAGACAAAAATTTTATAGTGGTTTTCTTTCATATCAGGACAAGGATTGCTATCAGTAGGCCAAAAATTCTTTTTAAAAAAAATGTATTTTGTTTTAATTGAATCATAGTGAGATACACAGTTACAAAGTTGTTAATGATTGGCTTTCAGCGTTCATATAATGTTCATGTAATGTTCCAACACCTATCCCTTCACCAGTGTATGTTTCCCACCACTAATGTTCCCAATTTCCCTCCTTCCCCCACTCCCCCGCACACAGCTCTATGGCAGATCCTTCCCTCCCTCCCTTCTCTCTCTCTCCCCCCTCTCCACTCTCTCCTCCCCCTCCCTCTCTCTCTTCCTTCTCCCTCCCCCATTCCCTCCCTCCTTTTGGGAATCATGGTTTGCCATACAGATACTGAAAGGTTATCAAGTATATCTCTTTACCTATATTAAACACTCAGTTTCTGTTCAAAGTGATCATTTCCAGTTTTTACTGTCATACTGATCCATTGATCCTAACTGCACTCCGTCCGTGTCGTGTCTGTCTCCCCCCCCCCCCCCCCCCCCCCCAGTCTTGTGGCAAACTTCCAACCATTGACCTGACCTCCTGGTCCCTGTTTTCCCTGGGAGCCAGGAATTCTTAAACTTTTTTCACTAGTTGCCCCTTTTTGCCTAAGAATTTTTATGTGACCTCTGAATATAATTTCATTCAAAAACATTTCTTTTAAAGATGTTAGCATTCTCTGTGGCATCAGGACTCATAGGCTATAGGCAACTGCCTCTACATAGTAAGTCTTAATTTTATTTGTAGTGCCTTTCTTGATAATCTCCCATAACTGGTCTCCCCCTCATATACACACGCTCAGTCTTTTATCTTCAGCTGAAGATGGTTGTATTTTTCTTTTGCTCTGCCAGCAATCAAACCAAAGTTGGTTGCATGGAAAGCAAGTGCCATACTATCTCTTTGGCACCCTTAAGTTGATTTTTCTTTTATCTCATATTTGTTAGCTAGAGGATGATTGTTTTTCT